GAAACGCCTGTGGACGTGGTGCTTCGCATGTGCGTGTTTCTCTACATAGCATGTTCTCGCCGTGCCGACCGCGGTGTCGCAGGGCCTGCAGCCGGAGGAAGGGTCTCTGTGGAGCAGATGCACGGCCGCTGGCTTGGGAGTTAATTAGATGCCACACTGAACTTGAACTCAAGCTTCGTCCTCCACTTTCCCTCCTCGGTGTGAACATCTTGTGTTCCAGAAATTCCTCAACCAAGAGAATCTTGCTTTTTGTGGATGTGCTCCAAGGGAAAGCGGTTGTAGAAAGAAGGAAAGAAGAGGTTTTTGGTTGTTTTGGGGTGTTTGTTTTTTTTTATGGTTTTGGCCTTGGAAAAAAGGAACAAGGAACCTGCTAACTCAAGAGCAGTCTACTGCTCATCCATAATGTGGCTCAGAAATTCGAAACATCAAGTCACGTCTCCCGGTCGTCCTGCTTGTGTCTGAGTGGTTTAACACTGAATTTTCTTGATAAAAAAGTGATATACGCTTAAGATAGCAACGTCACGTTACAGCAAAGCACCCACCGGAAGCCTCTCCCCACCAGAGTGCACAGGCATACGGACGCGGGGCGGTAACCGTGGTGAAGTTCGGTATAAAACCTTCTGGTTTGTGTTCCTCTGCGTTTCCTAACATCTCGAAGCTACGATGACTTTTACTTTTACAGAAATGTGATCAGTCTCTCCATTGTTTTTCTGCAACTCAAGATTTTACTTAATTATGGCATTCCTACCGTGAGCACACCTAGACCTACCGCATCCCTGGTTGTGCCTGCATGCTGCCCCGTTATGTGGTGTACCAGCGTGGAAGCCACCCTTATTGATACTCTTTTTTTTTTTTTTTTAATATATTTTATTGATTTTTTACAGACAGGAAGGGAGAGAAATAGAGAGCTAGAAACGTCGATGAGAGAGAAACATCGACCAGCTGCCTCCTGCACACCTCCCTACTGGGGATGTGCCCGCAACCAATGTACATGCCCTTGACCGGAATCGAACCCGGGACCTTTCAGTCCGCAGACCGACGCTCTATCACTGAGCCAAACCGGTTTCGGCTGATACTCTTATTGGTACTGGGACCAGTCAGTATTGCTGTGATGAACACACTTGCACATTTTTTTTTTACACAGTATGTATGTTTGTGAGATACATTCTTCAAAAACTTGAACTACTGTGCCATATGATTTTTTTTTTTTTTTTTTTTTTAAGGAAGGGCATTGTTATGACTCAGAGAAGGCAGTCTTCCATCCTTTCTCTCACTGGTGTGGGTTGCACCCGGGATGCCTTCAGTCGAGGAATCTTTGTGGGGTTCTGTCAGACGTGGGGCATGGAGCCCAGGGCCTGAGGCCTCCTAGGGAGGGGCCTACAGAAATGTTTTCGACCCCCAAAAAGCGGTGTTGGCTCTAACATAAGAAAGTTGCAAAATAAAAATAAACGTGATTCAATGTCTTTCCTGTGAGCTTCATTAATGGTTAGATTCAATATTTGCTTAAAACATATTTCTCTCATGAGAACTAGTGAAGAGTCTGATGATCACAAAATCAAATAATTTCAAAAGCACATTCTCAAGATCTTTTCAAGGTTACAGGAAAGGGTCATCTTGAATCTGGGAAATGGCTGTCTTTTAATGTGTTTGAAATGCTGTGCAGAAGCCTCCAAAAGGAAGCATGCAGTTTGGCTCAGTGGATAGAGCGTCGGCCTGTGGAACTGAAAGGTCCCAGGTTCGATTCCGGTCAAGGGCATGTACCTTAGTTGCAGGTACATTCCCAGTAAGGGGTGTGCAGGAAGCAGCTGGTCGACGTTTCTAGCTCTCTATCCCTCTCCCTTCTTCTCTGTAAGAAATCAATAAAATATATTTAAAAAAACAAAAAATGTAATGAGTTAAACCATAAACATCTCTCCCCACATGATCTAGTTTCCTTAGACATTTCAAAGTCACCCCCACATTCAATCTGTTTGATTTGCACACACACTTCCAGTAGCTAACACAAAAGACCAAAATTCAGGTGCAGTCTTTCTTCCTAAGCATTCAAACACTAAACCAAAAAAGTTTACACATTCATTGTTTACAATTTTAATTACATTTTCTTTGACATGTTTTAAATGAAAAACCACAGAACCAATTTCAAATTCCTTGAAGCATTTCATATTAAGTTGGAAGTATCAGATCCTCTAATACTTGAAGTTATTTTAAATATTTCAAGTATCTTTAATAACAAAATATCACAATAATAAAAAACTTGCCCTCATTTGACATGGATTACTGATACGGGTTTGATTTACTTGCTGTAATCTCTTGGTGTATTTTGACACCCCAAGATGTCATATTCCATCCAAACACAGGACTGTGATTTGTTCACGGTCAGGGATTGTGGGCTGGTCACAGGACTGGATGCTACATCATGATGGCTTGACTCCATCTTCAGGCTAACGAACTAAACCCCTTCTTGTAGTCATCTTGCACTTCCTGCAATTTACCTTTTCTGCAACTTTTAAATATATATTTTATTGTTTTTTTTACAGAGAGGAAGGGAGAGAAATAGAGTTAGAAACATCGATCAGCTGCCTCCTGCACACCTCCAACTGGGGATGTGTCCACAAACCAGGTACATGCCCTTGCCCGGAATCGAACCTGGGACCCCTCAGTCTGCAGGCTGATGCTTTATCCACTGAGTCAAACTGGTTAAGGACCTTTTCTGCAACTTTTAATGGCCTGACATGTTTCAGTTGAAGCTTCTGTTACCGACTGCCCAGATTGCAATTTTGCTGCCTCATTCGATTCTGCTTTTTTTTCATTTATTACTTTTAAAAACTGGCTTGTATAATTATTGCAGGAAGCAACTTATTAGCAAGATTTTTCTTGTGTGTTGCCCTTATGCGTCTTCATGTTGATGAAGAAAAAGATCTTGAGGGTGTAGTGTTTCATGTGTTTTTTTGCGTGATGTCTAGTTTTAGGTTATTTCAGTCAACGTTACTTCAGAAATGAAGATAAATGCACATTCGGCTCTAGTTTGTTCGTTCGTTCGTTCATTCATTCATTTCTGGTGTGCCTGCCATGATGGTGGTGCTGCACCTGGAAGAAGCATGCCAAGATCAAGTCTACAATAGGATGCCAAAACCAGTTTGGCTCAATGGATAGAGCGTCGCCTTGGGGACTGAAAGGTCCAGGGTTTGATTCCGGTCAAGGACATGTACTACCTTGGTTGCAGGCATATCCCCAGTAGGGGGTGTGCAAGAGGCAGCTGATCAATGATTCTCTCTCATCGATGTTTCTATCTCTCTCCCTTCCTCTCTGTACAAAAATCAATAAAATATATATATTTTTAAAAGTCTACAATAGGAGCAAAACATGTTCACTGAACACAAACTCGTGTTCTCCAACCCTTTCACCAAATAATCTTTACTGCAGCCAAGGCTTGTGATCTCTAATAAACTGTGAACCCTAACAGAAGGAAGAACTGAACACAGCGCGTGCGGACACTCACTGAGGAGGAGTCGTTAGGAGAAGCAGGCACTTCCATTTCCCCCATCAGCCTGTTCATGGACGGAGCTATCTGTTCAGGGCACTTAAGCCCCTTTCCTCCTAGGATATTTTGAGACATTAAATAACCATCAAGGGACAAATTGTTCACTGGCCTAAAGTATACAGAGTCCCCAGAAATAATTAAAAAATAACAGTTTCATATAAAATGTTTTGATGTTTTACTGTAATACAATCCATGTCTCTCCCCACCCCCCCCCACCCCCAATGTCTGGAAATTCTGGCTCAGTTGTTCACAGGGTTGCTGTGAGGATTAAATGATTAAAGGCTGAGGCGCTTAGTATAGTGCCCGGCACATAACAAATACTCAGTTGATGTTAGCTATTATTAGCTGTTATGAGGATGAAGTTAGCTGCAAACTCCCTGTCAGCCGCAATACCTAGCACAGTCCTGGGCATGGAGTATAATATTTTAAGTCGATGCTTAGTGGGTGATCTCCACCATTTCAGATATCTTCCCCACACAAAATACTATAGCTTATTTTATGTCTTAAAAAAAAAAACAAAAAACTGTGCTGAGTATTGATTTTTAAAAATATATATTTTATTGATTTTTTTACAGAGAGGAAGGGGAGAAGGATAGAGAGCTAGAAACATTGACCAGCTGCCTCCTGCACACCTCCTACTGGGGATGTGCCCGCAACCAAGGTACATGCCCTTGACTGGAATCGAATCTGGGACCCTTCAGTCAGCAGGCTGATGCTCTATCCGAGCCAAACCGGTTTCGGCAGTATTGATTTTTTTTAAAAACAAAAACATCAGCTGTTATTCAACGCAACCAACTCGATTTTATTTTGTTTCATTCTGATTAAGTTCTGCTTTTATCTGAATGTTCAGGTTTTCTTGTTTGCTAATGATGATGATGATGATGATGATGATGATGATGGTGCATTTAAGGCAATATATTTTCCTCAGAGCACTGCTTTGACTGCATCCCCCATATCCATGTATATGTGGCATGTACTCATAGCACCCCTGCTAACAAAGCAATGAAGCAATGGAGTTACTGCTCAGCACAGGTTAGCTGCTTTACCCTCAGCTTGTGCTCAGCCAACAAGCTTACTTGGCATCCCAGGGTTCCAGGTGAGCACTCATCCCACTTCTCTTCGGCGCTTGTACCACCTCCTCTCTGCTCAGGGGGCGCGCCTTGTCCTCACGCCCTCTGACCCCACCCCCTCCAGGTTCCCATGACAGCGCGCAAGTGTCGGAAACACATTCTATCGTCACGTCTCCTTACGCTCTCCAGAGGCTCTGAGATGATGGGGGGGGGAAAATAGTCCCTTGGCAAAAGGCGTTCTCCTCGCGAGGAGGCGGGTCTAGGGCGGGGCTTCAGGGCGGAAGGAACCGGAAGTCCTCGATCCCGCCACGGGATTGGCCCCGCGCTCCGCGGGGGCGGGCTCACGCGGGCGGAGGAATCCACGCCGAGCGCCGGGCGGCGCGTCGCCTCCATTTAAGGCGCGGAGCGCGGCGCGGGCGGCAGTTGCTGTGGTTTCCGCCCCGGGCCGGCTTCGTTCTGGGCAGAGCAGACGCTCCCGGACGGACGCGGCGCCTCGAGTCCAGGTGTGTAGGTGGCTGCGGACCCCTCGAGGTCAGTCCCTCGGCGCCCCTTGTCCGAGCCGGGGCCGGCCCCCCTGCGTCACCGGCGCCGCTTTGGGGCCCGCGTCCCGGGCGCCCCGGCGCGGCCGCGGAGAAGGCCGCCTGCGAGATGTTCAAGAACACGTTCCAGAGCGGCTTCCTCTCCATCCTCTACAGCATCGGCAGCAAGCCGCTGCAGATCTGGGACAAGAAGGTGAGGGGCGATCAATCAATAATCAATCAATAATCAATAAATCAATCAATAATAAAAATGAATTAAAAAGAAGGTAAGGGGCGGCGGGGCGGGCTGCAGGGGGCGGGGAGTGGTGTCGGGTTGGGGCCTGGGGGAGGCCAGGCCGGGGGTTGAGGGATGGTAGGGTGGGGCGTCGTGTAAGCCGGGGGTCCATATGGATGGGAGGGTCCGGGGCCCGGGTGTCCCGGGGGCCGAGGTGTGTGGTTAGGTCGGTGGTTCCGCGCCGCAGTCTTGCCTCGGTCGGTCCATTCCTCGGCGCCTGGGTGCCCCCATCTATACACGGCGGGGTCGACAGTGGCTCTCAGGGCACGAAAGGCGGACACACTTGTTGGAAACGCACAGATGAAAGCAGCTGCTGTTGACGGATTTTTATCAGATATATGCTGACACCCTGCCTGGTGCCAGGCGGTGAGCTGGGCGCCAGACACGGAGCCTTTGTTCCAGAACCAGCTCTGTTTGGGCTTCACTCGCTTGTTCCCCCTCCTGCTCTCCCTTCTGCTGATGCCAAGCATGTGGGACTGTGGCACCTGCTCCAAACGGAGGGCCTGGGGGGGGGGGGTGCCCTGCCTCCCCTGGGTGCCTGGCTTCTCCGGCGGGAAATGGCAGAGTGGTGATCCAGTCGTGTCTGCATGCATGAGCTCACAGCCCCGTCCCAGCCTGGTGGTCCTTCTCCAGGCGTCTACAGGACGGCCCTGGCCCTGACCCCGACCCCAGGCGGCAATGGCCCCGTCCACTCTTTGGAGATGGTGGCGTAGGGCGTGTGTGTCTGGCAGCCTGAGAGTTGGTCTGCATTTTGTTACCTTGATATTTCATGTCTCATGCAAGTTCCCTAACAGTCAGCTAGCTGAACCCTTTTCTTCTTTTTTTCTTTTAATGTTTTTATTGATTTCAGAGAGGAAGACAGAGGGAGAAGGAGAGGGAGAGAGGTAGGAACATCAATGATGAGAGAGAATCACCGATCGGCTGCCTCCCGAATGCCCCACACTGGGGATCGAACCTGCAATCCTAGCAGGCGCCCCTGACCGGGATCGAACCCAGGACTTCTCAGTCCATAGGCTGACACTCTCTCACCGAGCCAAGCCAGCCAGGGCTGTGTCCTTTTCTAGAAGTTAACATTGGCCCTACCCGGCTTGGCTCAGTGGATAGAGTGTCGGCCTGCAGACTGAAGGGTCCCAGGTTCCATTCCGGTCAAGGGCATGTACCTTGGTTGCAGGCACATCTCCAGTGGGGGGGAGGGGGTGCAGGAGGCAGCTGATCGATGTTTGTCTCTCATCGATGTTTCTAACTCTCTAACCCTCTCTCTTCCTCTGTAAAAATTAAAATATTTAAAGAAGTTCAGGTTGGCACTCTACTATGGGCGGGAAGGCTGGTCACTTAGGATCTACCAGTGCCGCTCTCCTCAGGGGAGAATGAATTGGAATAATCTGAGCAAGAAGTTTATTGGTGATGAAGCCAAGAACTTTGGGGCTCATCTCAGAACGACCTTTTGGTGAGCTTTTCGGGCCGCATAGAGGGGGGGAGGGAACTGGACCGCCTTCTGCCTGTTGCCATGGGAGTCCTGCGTTCTGCAAGCAGCCTCCAGGTGGCGGCTCCCACTGTCCTTTTCATACGGTGCTGAAAGGCGGGGATAGAAGGAGTTTGGGGCCTTGTGCGTAAAGGGGAATCGGACCAGCGCTGCCCTTCCACATGATGGCTCCACAGTCGAGAGCTGATGTGTGGCTCAGGAAAGCAGTTCCATACCCTGTTCCCAAGTCACTAAGGTTTTCAGTGCGTGCTTTTGTTCACTTTGGAATAAAATATTCGCTCTGGCCGAAACCGGTTTGGCTCAGAGGATAGAGCGTCCCAGGTTCGATTCCCGTCAAGGGCAAGTACCTTGGTTGTGGGCACATTTCCAGCAGGAGGTGTGCAGGAGGCAGCTGATTGACGTTTCTCTCTCATTGATGTCTCTAATTCTCTATATCTCTCCCTTTCTCTCTAAAAAAATCAATAAAATATATATTAATACACACACACACACACATACACACACACACACACACACACACACACACACTGTGAAGAGAACCCGCAGTGAGGGTACCAGGAAACGGGGGGAACTTTGTAGGGCTTCTCCGCTGTGACTGGACTTAGTTACGGGGAGTGGCCTTGTGTGCCTGTTGAACTTGGGATTGTAACCAAGTGCCGGTATCAGGCAGCGGAGATAGAAAGTGGGACATGATGGAGGAGGAGAGGTTTTCAGGACAGGTCAGAGCTTATACTGAGAGAATTCAGTGCTCGGGACCTCAGCTGCTCTGTGAGGTGAAACTTGGGTTAGAGTTGCCCATTTTAACCCTTCTGAGCTTGATCTTCGGTAGTCATTTTTCTAATGCAGCTTTTTACTAGTCAACATGTTTACATGTGAAACAGAAGCAAAGTAACCATGGCGCACCTGTCCCTTAACAACGCCACTAGAGGTCGATGGTACCCTGATGACATAAACACATGTGAAAACATTGGTAGATCGACTGGTAGAGTACATGGAGTCAATTTTGGCAAAGAAAACTAGAAGAACACTCATTTTAAGCAAGATTCTTCCCTGGGGCAAGGGAAGGAAAGGGAGAAAAAGAGAATTTTGGAGACTCACAGGCTTTGTTATATGTGTGCCTTCTCTTAGCTATCCTATAAAGTCCTCCGCACGTGTTGGGAATCCAGTTTGGTCCAGAGAACCCTGGGAATTGAAAGAACCTTTCAACTATTTATAAAAATAAATAAAACTTATCAAAGATTTATTGAACAACAGCCAGGTGACAGGCATTGTGTAGATTTGAGGAGATACAGAATTAAGTATTTTCCCTGCTGGGGATGAGGGCAAACTTGATGGAGAAAAGAAAGGACTGTTCACATTGATCAAGAAATGACCAGGCCCTCGCCATTTGGGTCCGTGGTTAGAGCGTTGTCCTCGACTGGAGGGTCTCTGGTTCGATTCCAGCACATACCTCGGTTGTAGGTTCCAGCTCTGGTTCCGGGTTGATATGTGTGTGGGGGCAACAAATCAATGTTTCTCTTACATTGATATTTTTCTCTTGTGTCTCTTCCCCTCCCTTCCTCTAAAAATCAATGGAAAAAATACCCTGGGAGAAGATTAACAACAACAAAATGATCCCAACCTTTGCCAATAGGTACATCATATTGGCTCTCAGTGCATATTTTCAATTATTATTTTTATTTTACAAAATTTTACTATTTTCCTTCCCTAGTTTATGGAGAGAGAATTCCTGTGATTTGTTTTCTGCCAAGAATATTCCCTGGCCAGTTTGGTTCCGTGGATAGAGTGTCGGTCTGTGGACTGGAGGGTCCCTGGTTCGATTCTGGTGAAGGGCACATGCCCAGGTTGTAGGCTTGATCTCCAGTAGGGGGCGTGCAGGAGGCAGACGATGGATGTTTCTCATCGTTGATGTTTCTACATCTCTCTCCATCTCCTTCCTCTCTGAAATCAATAAATATATACATATATACAAAGAAGAATCATCTTGGAAAAATTAGGTTTGTTTTTGTTTAGGCTCTGTGTCTCCTTACGAATGTGAGGAGTGAATGTCATTCAAAATCCCCGCGAATTCGCAAACTCCACGTTTGTGGGTGTGGTTACATTTGTATCCCTCTCCCTTCTCATCCTTCAAATCTGAACTTTAACATTATTTCATTGAGAGCAGATGTGGGGTATCTCCCTCCAGACTACCAGTTCCTAAAGGGAGAAATAGTCTCTGACCTTGAACCCCAGTGCTGAGTGTGGTCAGGCACCTTGGATTTGTGGCCTGGCTCTGTCTCAGGTCCTCTGCTCTGTGACCTTGGGCAAGTGCTTAACTACTCAGTTTTCTCATCTCACAGCAATGCCACCGCTCTCGTGGTTATGGAGATTAAAGGAAGATGCATATGAAATGCTTAGCAACAGTTACGGCATACAGTATTAAATAGGGCAGGAAGCTAAGGGGTTTCCACAGGAGTAAAAAGGTTTATATTGGAGCTCAATATTCAGATGCTGAGGAAGAGGAAGCCCAGGTTTCTGAAATTAGAATACATACCGTATTTTTCGGACCATAAGACGCACTTTTTCCCCCCCCAGAAGGGGGGGGGGAAAGTCCCTGCGTCTTATGGTCCAAATATAGCCTACACATATACTTTAAAAAAAAAGTTTTTTTACTTGCCCGGCTCTGTGTGGTCTCTGTGTGCTTGCCCGGCTCTAAAATGGTTCTAAATGCTGCTGTTTACTTTACAGGGTTGATTACATGTGTTTATGACTGTGATGTTGGGTTTTAATGCACATAAAATATTTTAGGACACTATTTGTTTCAGAATCTTTTTTTCTTCATTTCCCTTCTCTAAAAACTGGTGCGTCTTATGGTCCGGAGCGTCTTATGGTCCGAAAAATATGGTAATTTAATCCCCGTGGTCGGCAAACTGCGGCTCTTGAGTCACAGGCAGCTCTTTGGCCCCTTGAGTTTTTAGCAAAGGCCAGCTTAGGAGTACCCTAATTAAGTTAATAGCAATGCACCTACCTATATAGTTTAAGTTTAACAAATTTGACTCTCAAAAGAAATTCCAATCGTTGTCCTGTTGATATTTGGCTCTGTTGACTAATGAGTTTGCTGACCACTGGGCTAGTGCCTGCTTACCTGTTCTCCAGGCTCACCTGTCCTGGGCTCACCGGCCCTGGCTCCCGCCTACTGAACCTGCTGAACTGAAAGAGCCCTGTTCTCTCACACCTTCATTCAAGCCTTTGTGTTTGCTGGTCCCTCTGCTGGGACCTGTGCCTCCACCTCTTCTTCAGTCTCTCGGTCACAGCTTACCAGCACCCCCTGGGGTTCATCTCCATCCCCTTCTTCCTTTTCTTCATACTCAATCACGCTTGATTTTTCTTTTTAATTTTTAATGTTTTGAGGGAGAAATATCGATTTGTTGTTCCACTTACTTATGCATTCTTCCATTGCTTTTTAAAAATATATACTTTTATTGATTTCAGAGAAGAAGGGGGAGAGAGAGAAACATCAATGATGAGAGAGAATCATTGATCGAATGCTCCTCACTGGAGATCAAGCCCACAATCTAACACATGCCCTAGACTGGAACTGAACCTGGGACCCCTCAGTCCACATGCCAATACTCTGAGCCAAACCAGCTAGGGCACTTCCATTGCTTCTCGCATGTGCCTGACTGGAGATCGACCCCAGAATCCTGGTGTATTGGGATGATGCTCTAACCAACTGAGCTACCGGCCAGAGCCCTCAGTCACACTGGAAATTAGCTTCTCAAGATCTGTATTCCTGGCTAGACTGGAAGCTTTCTAATAAGCTTTGCAGTTTTTCAATCCAAGAGTTTAGGAGAAATTAGGGGTTTCTTAAGGTTTCCTTAATTTCTGGGCCTTGTAAGTGTTGCATTGTCTAAAGGACTCCTGTGTGTACTGGAAACTTTACTTTGGTTTGTAAAGAAAATACCAGGAGGTTTGTTCCCACATACTGTGTGTGTAAAACCTCATTCCCAGTCCTTCCTGGTGATATCCTAAAAGCCTGGTAGGTAGGAGTGTTAATCCATAGGCTTCTCCGTCTCTCTCCTCTCACCTGGCTCTCTCAGCTGGAAGGGATTAGGTTCCCATTCCTGTTCCTAAGTAAAAAAGTGAATGAATCTCCAGAAAAACTCCCACGCCCCAGCTTGTAAGGAGTGAATCTTGTTGGTCGACATTAAACTGATGCAATTTCCAGTAGTGGGATTGACAGCATTTGGACATGAAGGTAGGGAAACTTTTCAGACTCTCCCTGGGTGGGTGTGATGGTGTTCTTCATGGTCCTGAGTAACAGCTTTCCTGAAATTGGCGAAGACCTGGTTTTAGTTACACCTGCCCTGTGGGGGCGCCGTTACAAAGCTACTGGCTCACAGTGCACACCGCTGCCCTTCCTTAGCTAAGGGTTTGTTGTGGGCGCTCTGAGTTGCCTGGCTGCTGTCTGATTACCCTGCGAAGTGACCCACGGGGGTCTGGGAAGCCGAGGCCGTGCGTCGGAGCTATGCCCAGCTCGCCCCACAGAGGTCTCCCTCCGTCCGCTTTCCCCGAGCAGCTGGCTCTGCCGAAACGGCCGGCGCTAATGGCTTACTGTAAATTGGAACCTGTGTCGTTAAGACTAGGATAGCAGATGGCTGGGGGCTCAGCTGTCTGCCAGGATAAGTGGGTGGAACCAGGGGAAAAAAGAGAGAGAAGAAACGGGTGGGGGTAGGAAATGGAAACCACTCCCGTGGTATTTTTAACGCACCTGTAGAAATACAGAACGTCTGCCAGCTTCCTCCCGTAGTATTTCCCCCTCAGCCTGACCCCCCTCCCTGGGGCTTAAGTCAGTGTTGCTTATTAGTTGCCCCAGCAACGATGGAAAGCTGGGAGAGTGATTGCAAGAAGGGCCTGATGGTGCCTTCCCGGTGGCCGCTGTCAGTAGCCTGGGTTCCGAGGCTCCGGAAGTGCCTCCAGCTCAGCGAGGGGAGCTCAGGAACTTGTAGCCAATGTGAGACTGGCTTTATTTATCTAGTTATTTATTTTGGAGGGAATAAAACACGTGTAGGCCGCAGTTGGATAGTGGGGATGTGTTATAAAATAAAAAAGAATTCATGTCACAGATAATGGGCACTTTCTGATTTAGAGAGGGAAGGAAAAGAAAACCCGCTTCCACCAGGAGCAGTAAATGCTGACGGTTCATCTTATCTTCATTTCAAAGCCCGTCTGCCTGGCGACCTCTGCCCTGGAAGCCTAAGAAAAGGAAGTTGACGTCCTGTTATCGGTGTTTGTCAGAAGCGGGACTGGGGAGGGGTTGCTTCCTGGAAGACCTCGCAGTATCCAGGAACCAGATTGCCAGGGGGCTAGGAGCTTGCCCCTCACTCATTCCCCTTCCCATCCACGTTTCCGAGCCTAGAGAAGAGGCTTGGCAACTTCTAAGAGCTCATCTCTCTCTCTGATTAATTGCGCCTCCGTCACCCTCCCCTGTTTTGTTCACATGAGTTTGTATTTGCAGCCCTGAACTTAAATAAGAGGGGAATCATAATTCACTAACAGATCAACACAATTTGATTTCGTAGCGCTGGCAGCTTGTTTTTCTTCTTTGAGGCCTGAGCTTGCTCCTTGGGCAAAACTCTTCTTAGCTTGTCTCACCACCAGCCAGGCTAAAACTCTCAGACCGATAGGCATTCCTTCACAAAAGCTGCCTTGGTTCCTCCGAGTTCTCTTGTTTGGGGGCCACATTAATTAATTTTGTAAGAAGTAAGTTTGCGATGTGGTTGTTGCTGTGGCTGAAAGGAAGTTCTCTCTAGGAAGACATTGAAAGTCGCCCTAAAAGCTGTGCTGGCAGCAGCAGAGGATGCCCGTACAGGTGCCCATGCAGAGTCTGCTGGGCTTCCGGCCTGCGGTTCTGCTCGCAGTGTGAGGCATTGTTTTCCTCTGTGGAAACCGAACGGTCAGCTTTGCTCCAGGGAAGTCGCCTGCTGGAAAGGAGATGGATAGAGGCAGCTTCCCCACTGCTCCTGCCCAGTGCTCCCGCCCTGGGCTCCCCCTGTGAAGGCTGTCTGGAGCTGAAGGCCTGGGGGAGGTGAGATCTGAGGCCAGCGCTCTCAAACAATGTTGGATAAATTGCAACAATTTTCACTCCAGCCGTAGTAGCCCAGCGGCAGTAAATACTTAATCCTTTCAACTTAATCATCTGTTTGAATGTTGCCTTAGTACGTATCTTTTAAGGTAAGAATGAAGCTAGATCACAGGGAGTAATTAGCAGTATGCTACAGAATTGGTGTTTGCATCTTGTTGGAATACTGCCAGCCATGATCACCTGATTAGAAATGTCCTAACGTAGTCCTCCGACACTGCCTGCTTTTCCCCTGCAGCCTGGGCCAGCAGCTAGGGTTCCTGCGGGGAATGAGGTGGGCAGTGCTGGCACATGCTACACAGATCCAGGCCTTGGTGCTCTTAATCTCCCTTGGAAAACGGCCTAGAATCCGAAGCAGGAGGGCCCTGGATGTCAGCGGTTTTGTTTGAGAAGCACTTCAATGTGGCATTTGTGTCTTGAGAACCAAGAAATGCCACATTGGCAGAGATCTGGGGCTGTCCACCCAGCAGTCTGTCTCTGACGTGGGCACTAAGAGGTGATTTGTGGGGAAGCGTTCCGCTGGCAGCCTCCTGGGCTCCGTGGTGTGATGCACCCGGGATCTCTGGCTTCCTGTCATAGGCCGTGTGGGTATGTTATCCAGGAATGTTTTAAAATCCTTCTTGAAACTATTCACATGTGCCAGCTCTCGGAGTGACACAGTCCAGAAGTCAGCACTTACTGTATGCCCAGCACAGTACTGAGCATTGTGGAAGATACAAATGATGCTTAATGCTTGGTCCCTACCCCTGAGTTTACACGTTTTTGAGAAGATAAGGCTCAGTTGCAATTTGTAGAAAAAGATGGCCAGTGATATCAGATGTCACCTGAGGAATGCCAAGCAACCATGAGTGGATCAAGTTCACAGTAACAGAGCTCAGAGACTGGTGTTTAAAAATAGGATGGCGTATTATTAATAACCTATGTTGAAAAAGACAACTATTATCCCTGGCTGGTTCGGTTCGGTGGTTAGATCGTTGGCCCGTGGACTGAAGGGTCAGCGGTTCAATTCTGGACAAGGGCATGCACCTTGGTTGCAGGTTCTTTGCCCAGGTCTGGTTGGGGTGCTTACTGGAGGCAACTGATCAATGTGTCTCTCTCACTCTCTCTCTGTCTCTCTCTGTCTCTCTCCTCCTTCATTCCACTCTCTCTTAAAATCAATGGGGAAAAAAATATCCTTAAGTGAGGATTAACAAAAAAGAAAGAGAAAAACACAACTATCAGACAGACTGGACACTGTGTTCTCTCCCTTGTGTGAATCCACTGGGAAGCAAATGAACAATCGGTGAATTCGACAAACAGCCCATCGTCGCTGTCCCTAGGAAAGACCGCCTTTGTCTTTCTGATGAGTCCTGGTCTTTTTCATGTGGTAACATATTCAGCCCTAGCCGTCCAGCCCTGTCTCTGAGATATCTTTGCACATCTCTGCTCTGTCCATACTCGGTGCTTAAGAGTTGATTGCTTGAAGGTAATTCTTCTTTCCTAAATATTTTGAGAGGAGGCACCTGTATGGAATATTGATTCCTTCCCCTCATATACCTCCTATATATGCAGCAAACAGTACAAAACAACGTAGGATGAAGAGCTGAATTGTGTAGTGTGGCCTCTCTGAGCCAGGAAAACAAGTCAGAGAGGTCAGCGTGGGCTGGAAACGCCGATGAAGCATCTGTGTGGGCCATCGAGGGACTTGCTTTCGTGCTTGAAAAAGTAGGAACTAAGGGAAGAGAAGATAAGGAAGCAGGAGTAAACCTGGGGGAGTAGCGCTCTCAGGTTCCGGTTGCCCCACCTCAGGGACGGACGCTCAACCCCGCCTTTCTGCAGCGTGGGCAGTGGCCGGCCCGGTGGGCATCCTGACCTCTGACCTAGGAGCGACCATCTGCACTCCTGGGTGTCGATGTCCGCATGGCAAAGAGGACACAATGCCACCTGCTTGTGTTTTTTTTTGCTGTGGGAAGGATTAAGTGAGAGAATGAACTGGAATGTTCTAACGCATAGCAGGAGCTCATTAAATGTCAGCTGAGTGAATGGGGTTGATTTCTTTGGGAAGACATTTATCCTGATTTATAGGTTGCTGAGTTCCCTGTGACTCCTGTGGTGGTCGAAGGGACCCTGTATAGCAGTAATAACATGGTTTACTTACACACAAGCGTCAACATAGCATGTCACAGACTTCCGTGTTATTCACCCTGGGCCACTGTGGTTTTTTGTAAGTGATCCCATTCACCCTTCAAAATCTTAAAGTTGTTGCCAAATATTTCAGTCCTAACCAGTTTAATTTTCTCCCTTATAGGTGCGGAATGGTCACATCAAAAGAATCACTGATAACGACATCCAGTCCCTGGTGCTGGAGATTGAAGGAACAAATGTCAGGTAGGTGGGACTCCATTTTCCTAGAGACACTGGACCCCAAGGAGGCCGTACCTCATGGAGGTGAAGGCATAGGCTGCCTGGTCGGGCCACCTGGTGGGAGTCCAGCTCTGCTACTTAGAGTTTACCTTGGCAAGTTACTCCGTCTCCTTGGCCTTTGTTTCCTCATCTGTGAAATGGGGATAACAGCAGTATATCTTTGTGCAGATTAAATGAGTAAATGTGGATAAAACACTTAGAATCTGCTTAGCACGTGTTAAGCGCTGTGCAAGTATTAGATATTATTAATATTTAACCAAGGTGTGTGTGTGTTGGGGGTGGCCACTGTGGGCTTTGGTGCCAAAATGGTCTTAGTTTTGGCTTTCCATCATTTTTTTGGTTCTCTTGGACCAGAAGTAGAGCTCTTATTGGAAGCACTGCCTCAGATCCACGTCTGGTTTTGCTTCTCAGGTATTTTATTGTTGGTGTCTAGTCCTATTGAGCTTTTGTTTCAGAGTCCAGCATTTTTTTTTTTAATTACTCAAGAATATGTTCTTACTGATTTTTAGAGAGAGAGGAAGGGGGGGGGGGAGAGAGAGAGAAAGAACCATCAATCAGTTGCTTCCTGTATACGCTCCGACTGGGAATCGAACCTGCAACCCAAGATTCCTACCCAGAAATCAAACCCTCAGTCCTTAGGTGTTCAGGAGGGATAATGCTCTAACCAGCTGAGCCACCTGGCCAGGGCCAGAGCCCAGCTTTTTCTTAAAGCATTAGCTGACTAAGGGGCGAGGGCTTCATTGGCGGGTGAATCTGGAACTTGTGGATCTGCCTTTCGCTTCACCTCTTCGGCTGCGGGTTGCTGCTGTGCATACACAGAGGGAAAGGCCAGCAGTGTGTTCATTGGCATTTCCTTCTCCTCAGCACCACGTACATCACGTGTCCTGCAGACCCGAAGAAGACGTTGGGAATTAAACTTCCATTCCTCGTCATGATTATTAAAAACCTGAAGAAATATTTTACTTTTGAAGTACAGGTGAGTGTGTGCACGTGAACGTACATACTTGTGGCTGTGCCAGAGAGGTGTCCCATCAGCCTGTAGGGCAGTGCCTCCTTTTCTGCCTGAGCCGTAAATATATCTGGTATTAGTAATCATAATTTAATGCCGAGTTTTTAAAGAAACGGTAAATTTAACCATAGCAATAAGATTTCAAAACTTGTGAGTTAGAACAGTGTTCATTTGGGGAGTACCCATTTAAATACTGGGTTATTGTTGGTCTCTATCCTAGTGGCTGCCTCCTGCACGCCCCTATGGGGGATCAAGCCTGTAACCGGGCATGTGTCCTGACTGGGAATTGAACCAGGACCTCCTGTGGTTCATGGGTCCACGCTCAACCACTAAGCCACACCGGCCATGCTGTTTCTATATTTTTATTTCCCAAGGGAAGAATGTTTATGAAGTCATTCTATGGCCTGAGAGCCTGCTGGGTGGGGGTGCCATTTGTCATAAGCAGCTGGTGTTGTCCTGGCAACAAATGAGATACACTTGCTCCTTCCAGACCGTCTGCATCCAGAGTGACCTATGTCCGGCCTGTTCGTCCTCCGTGGGCCTCAGCCCCGGGCACCAGGGCGGTGGACGTTCAGGGCCTTGCCTTACAGATTGCCAGCTTCTTCCAGGGCGGAGGGGGCGTGACTCCTGTCTCCATCTCACAGGTCCTCGATGACAAAAATGTGCGCCGGCGATTTCGGGCAAGTAACTACCAGAGCACCACGCGGGTCAAGCCCTTCATCTGCACCATGCCCATGCGGCTGGATGACGGCTGGAACCAGATCCAGTTCAACCTGTCCGACTTCACACGGCGGGCGTACGGCACCAACTACATCGAGACGCTGCGAGTGCAGGTGCCAGGCCCTTTCCGGATGGAGCCCCGTGGGACGGGGTGCTCTGTCCCTGGATCAGGCCCCCAAGCGCAGGGGTTCTGATAGAGATAGCGGAGACTGTGGCGAGCAAACCCCCTCTTGTCCGAACCCGCCCCAGGCCAAGCGGGACACGCCGGGGGATGCCGCGCGGCAGCCCCGCGGGTGGGAGCTCTAGGAGGACCGGGAGATGAGGAAGGACGGTCCCGTTGAGTTTCTCAAATAAGCCTGGCGCCCACAGATCCACGCCAACTGCCGCATCCGCCGGGTTTACTTCTCAGACAGGCTGTACTCAGAAGACGAGCTGCCAGCGGAGTTCAAGCTCTACCTCCCGGTGCAGAACAAGGGGAAGGTAAGCACCGAGGCCCCAGGAGGGCCCGGCGGTGGGTCGGAGGCCACGTCCTGGGGCAGCTGCACGGCCTCTGCGTTGACATGGAGAACGGGGCGCCTTTCCATCCCAAGACCTAAGTCTTCCCCTCCGTCAGCACAGAGTCAGGCATGAGCCTGGGAAGGCTTCTGCTGTGCTCCTCCCTCCACAGGTGATCCTGCCCTCCTGGGGTTCGGGGTGCAGGGAGTCACAGGCACCCCATCAAATCTCTATTTAAACAACGCTCACCGGAGGATATGCTTTAGAGTGAAAGGAAGGGAGAAGGGAGCGGGGAGGGGGCAGAGTCATCGATGTGAGAGAGCCACCTCAATTGGTTGCCTCCTGCACATGCCCGACCAGTGCTGGGCATCAAACTGCAACTGAGGTATGTGCTCTTGACTGGGAATCGAACCCTTGACCCTTTGATGCCCAGGCCAACACTAACCACTGAGGAAACTGGCCAGGGCCCATTGAACTCTTTCTCAGCCCGTGGCGCTCTCCTCTGACACGATGGCAGCGCTCCCTGCCTGCTGCTGCTATCGTGTGCACTTCGCGCAGCTCAGCCCTCCGTGCCGGAGCTAGGGGACCGGGCGTGGACCATCTCTGTCTGATAACTCCAACTGATGCCTCTCTTTCCCCCTCAGCAATAACTGGAGTGCAACTCAAGGGATAGACCCTGGACCCGACTCTTAGTTTTAAAGGAGACTATCTGGAGGACAATGCAGAAAAACAAATATTTCTATTAGTTCACTGTGCTGTGGTTCTTTTGTCTGCTCCTGGTGTCCCGTCGCGGACACAGTGACTGCCGTACGTAACGCCTCGTAAGTACAGTGGGGAAGAGGGGCTCCTGGCTCTGATCCCGCTGCCACCAGCGCGGGGGAGATTCCTGACCACGAGCTCAGAATTAAAGGTGTCCCTTCAGACCAAAACCTCTCTACGGTTTGTTCTTCGTTTTATATATGACCTGCATATATGTATATGCTTGTAATACATAATCTGGAAATGAATAAAATGTTATATTCTTGGTTTGTACATCTGTTCTTAGTTTGGAATGGTGACATTTTTCTTTGTGGTGTGAAAGTAGAGCTCTTTTCAAAGACCGGCCCAGCATTCGTGCTGTGCGGTAGCTGGCAGTGAGCGCTCAGAGCGACGCCGATGTGTAGATACTGACTTGGAACAACTTGGAAGATGAGCAAGTGGAAAACCCCAGGGACGGTGCAGGCCCAAGAGGCGTCTTCTTGGGCTCGGGCCCTGAGTCACTGAGGACCGAGCACATCGAGCCCCCTAGCCTCTGTACCGCCTCCCTGCTCAGGTCCCACAGGAAGGGCCCGCCTGACTTAGGGAGAGTGGCTGCTTTAAGCACAAATCACGTGAGAACTGAAACCTCCCACCACTTGCCCACTCACACTCACTCCGGGGCACGCTCCTCAGGCAGGTAACCCTTCGGCTGCGGCTCTGCCTGTGGGCCATGTCTGGGAAGCAGTTGGGCGCAGACAGGAGCACCTGTAGGTGTGCCTAGAGGACCTTGAAGGACACACAGCTAGCGCAGTGATTGCATCTGGAGAGAGGGCTATGGGATGGCACGGATGCTTGGTTGTAGGCTGAAGAATGTTTTTGGAAAGGTGACATTTACGGAATAGAAACCTGGAAGTCTAAGGAACCAAGGGCCATCCTAGGTACCGTTCTCCCTCCCACAGGAGAGGCTGGGGGTGAAGTGAAAGCGTGTGCAGTGCCAGGCGGCATTGAGCACTGCCTTCGGAGAAGTTAAATGGTGAGGCACCTGCTCCCGATCCTCCTCTGAGTCCGCTCCGGGCAGCATGGCCGTGTCCCCAAGGAGGCAGGGCTGCGGGAGGGGAGGGTGGGCAAAGGTGCCCCTCTCTCCCTCATGACTCAGTTCCATTCCCCTCCGTCGTCCGCTGCCTGGCATGTAGGTGGGCTCGGCTTATACTACTCGTCCTTTGTCTCCTGCTGAAGCCCCTGCCCCGGGCCGCCTGTCCTGGGAGCCACTTTCAGGGCCAGCCCCATCACGTCTGACTGTGGTCCGATTCCCCGTCCTCCATTCCTCCCTTAGACTCCGCGTGTCTCCGGAACTTTCTGGATTTTTTTTTTTTTTTTTTTTTGTGGTGGGGGGGTGGTCTGGGATTTCACAGATCCGCTTGTCCCTGGCCACGTGGCGCGGGGTCTTCCCATCTGGGGCCCGTTCTGGGATGAAGGGTGCCTTTGTGGAGCAGAGAGCGGGTTAACTCTCCTTTGGTGCCGGGTGTCCGCGAAGTGCCCCGGAGCCCGGGAGAGACAGGAAGGCGCTCTCCACACAGCCCCTTCACCGCGCTGCCAGGCTATGTATGGCCATTACCTCACCGCCCTCCGGGGGACGGAGCAGATGCTTCTCAGCCTCCCGAGAGGAAGTGAGGGGGCGTCAGGGCGATGCCATGAATTATCTAAGCTGGCCCCGGCGGCTGCCCGGCCCCTGGCCCTCGCCTCCCAGCTCACCAGGAAGATGGCTGGTGAGGCCACAGGAGGGGGAGGGAAGGACAGGCTGGGGCCAGAGGGACCTCAGACTGGAAGCTGGAGGGGCAGGTGCCATATCCAGCTCCCAACAGTCATGGCGCTTCAGAGGAACCACCTTCCCAGCGAGAGTGACAGGTGCACAGCCACTCCCAACTGGGCTTCTTTTTGCCACTGGCCCCTGGGCTGCCTCCCTGCAGCCAGGCCAGCCCCTGCCTGGGCATCTGGAGGAGACAAGTGAGCACCAGAGAGCCCGAGCGGGTTTCCCTGGCCCCTCGGCAGCTGAAGCCAAAGCCTCGGGGTCGGAACTCACCGGGAAAGGCCTTGGATCTCTCCTCTGAGCCCCCTCGCACTGGCGGCTCCATCACTGAGCCTGCAACCTGGGCACGTGCCCTGACTGGGAATCAAACCATGACCTCCTGGTTCATAGGTCAACGTTCCACACCATTTTTAAATAGGCAAAAGGCTATATTCTAGGATGCATTTATAAGCGACAGCCTCGAGTGACGGGCAGGGGACATGTCTCCAAGCTTCACCTAGTGGTGGGGGTGGGGGTCACCAGGGACCCAAGAGGCCCTTCAGGGGGCTCCCGGGACACGGGGCTTCATTTCCTACCCGGGTCCTGTCACACCCGGGGTGTGTGTGTGTGTGTGTGTGTGCGTGCGCCAGTTACAAACACCAAGCTATTCCTCCCATCACGCTCCTCCCGTTCATACACTCCCACTGAGGTGCCTGCGCCCCGGCCTGTTACCACACAGGCTCGGGGGCCCAGCTCATTAACATGCAGATTCTCCTGCAGGAGATCTAAATCCGGCCCAGAAATCTACATGTGTCACGGCTTCCCCCGAGGACTGGGGATGTCTCCGGCACTTGGGAAGCTGCTCCAAACTGGAGGGAGCGAGGACCGCCAGGACAGCTTCCAAGGGCAGGATGCTGGGAGGGAAGGAGGCACACAGCGGCCCCGGCCCCTCCCCAGGCCCCTGCCGCTCCCTTCCTGCAGAATCCTCCTGGTAAGTGGCGTCTCTACACCCTTTCCCGAAATGCAAACCGCCCGGCGCTCCTGGTTGTAAACCCACGAGGCACCAGCCATCTGGGCGGAGCGTGAGCCTTGGAAAAAGTGTGCCTCTTGGTATCCATGGTGTCTGAAGCCAAGCAAAAAAATAAAAGCGCTGCAGGGCGGTGGGGGAGAAGGGGGCGGTGTGGACACGCTCTGCACAGACCCTCACTGTAGGGTGGAGGCCGCTACGGGAGCCGCCTCACCAACAAAATTAGCCTGCCGGTAGATCAAGTGTGTTATCCTACGTAATAAAGAGCTAATATTGCTAACGGCCGTGACACCCTCATGCTGTCATTACCGTTCAGGAGGATGCATGCGTGTGCATGGCAGGGCGAAGCCACCAAATTGCTCTGGCCCGGAGGAGGCGGGCCAGCCTGAGGCGACGCACGGGACCAAAGGTGGGGCTTGCAGCAGCCAGAGAAGGCTGGAAGGGTCAGGATGTTACTGCATGCACGGGGCTCATGGCTCTGAGGCCTCTGTCATCCTTGGACTTCCCCAGCCGCTCTTCCGTGAGGTCTCCATCATGAACCCTGGTGTTTGGGGAGGCGGGGCGGGGATACAGGAAAGAGAACAGATCCACGCACTCCAGCCTTTGGGGTCCGAGTCGCCCTCCAAAGCCGCCTCGACTGCCCTCGTGTTCACCCTCCCAAGCTTGGGACCTCTTTTAAAAAAAAAAAAATTTTTTTTTAAATTGATTTCAGAGAGGAAGGAAGAGGGAGAGGAAGAAACATCACTGATGAGAGGGAATCATCGATCGGTGTGTGAGCCCGCAAACCGGGCATGTGCCCTTGGCCAGAATCGAACCTGGGACCCTTCAGGCCGCAGCCCGATGCTCTATCGGCTGAGCCACACCAGCCAGGGCCTGCGACCTCTTTTCTTGGTGTTGGAAACTGGCCCGAGCCACCAGGTGACTCTCAGGCGTCTGCCACCCTCGGGGAGCGTAGGCGAGAGCGGTCACTGTCCCCCTCCCAGCCGGTTGCCTGGGAGTGGACTACGAGAGCGAATCTCAGCCACAAGTTCAAACCCGACCAGCGCCCTTTCTTCCGAGACAGCAGACGCGGCTTTTCCCTCAGGGACTGATCCTCTAACACCCGCTGGGGGACTGTCCTACAACCCAATTCTGACACCAACCACCTGGAGGGTTAAAGGGCCCAACAGACTGCCCCTTCCCCCGTCTCCCTGCACCTCCGTCTCCCTGCACCTCCGTCTCCAGACATCAGGTGCGAGTCCACGTTGGTTTGGGCATTTCCAGACCCTCTGTAAGGCCGATCACTTGCTGCTTGGCCCACACAGCTGGGGAACACGGCCCCCAGTTTATGACATGGCAGAGGAGAGGAGAGGATCCAGACAGCAACCGGCTGAGGAGAGCAGTAGGGTACAGTCCAGGCGAGTCCCGAGGGCGGAGCTTCTGTCCCCACGGAGTGGGGGTGTGCCTGGGCCCAGGCACGTGGGTGTTTATCAACCCGGAAGCTCTCCCACCCTGGCACTGGAGGGCCTTTCAGGGGCCCTGTCACACAGGCAGGGTCAATGATTAACTCCGCTCCAGCCTCTCCCCTCCCCGGAGGAGGAGGCGTGTGGCCGAAAATTCCAGGCTTCTCAGCACAGCTCGGTCCTTCTGGTGACCAGCCCCCATCCAGAGGCCACCCCGGGCGGGGAGGGGGGAGTCACTGCTGAGAACAAAAGGCTCTCCTATCACCCGGACATTCCAGAGGATTAGGAGCTCTGTGGCAAAGCCCCAGGCCCAAAGAGGCTCTAGTCCAGGCGTCTTCAAACTACGGCCACATGCGGCCCGCAGAGGAGTCTGATCCGGCCCGCCAGGTTTTTTGGGCAGTGAGCGCAGCCGAGGTGTTACAGTAGGAATTAGTAGTTCATATAGTCCGGCCCTCCAGCTCTCTGAGGGACCGTGATCTGGCCCCCACTTTAAAAAGTTTGAGGACCCCTGCGTCTAGTCCCTTTTACTGCTCAGAAAGTCACAAAGGTTTTAAGGGCTCTGGTCAGGAGCGGGCCGGAGACCAACATACGGATTTCTCCTTAGATCACGCCATCACCCAGTAAGGCGTGCGTGCGGGCCTATGCAATCTCCCTCGGAAAAGGGGGCCAGGCTGCAATACAGATGTTGGTGGCCCTTTAAAAAAAAACAGTTTCAAGCCGAGACCGGTTAGGCTCAATGGATAGAGCGTCGGCTTGGGGACTGAAGGGTCCCGGGTTCGATTCCGGTCAAGGGCATGTACCTTGGTTGCGGGCATATCCCCAGTAGGGGGTGTGCAAGAGGCAGCTGATCGATGACTCTCTCTCATTGATGTTTCTAACTCTCTCTCTCTCTTCCTCTCTGTACAAAATCAATAAAATATATTTAAAAAAACAGTTTCAATATGGTGCTAATAATGGTAACCACTAGCCACTTGTGGCTATTTCAGTTTTAAAATACATTTATATACACTTCTTTGGATTAATTTCAGAGGGGAAAGGA